TATTATTGGGTATTCACGATATTGTATATCTACTATTTTATTACATAGCAAAACGATTCGTAATACTGTTGCATGACTTAACAATAGTACACAACAGTAGGTAAAGTGCAAGAGTAAAAATTTAATTTCGGTTCTATATCAAGTTAAAATATTAATATTACACAATTTTATACGTATACTGCTATAACACCGAACACGTGTTTAAAACTAATAAATATGATTTGTGCGAGAGCTTCAAAAAAATAAATTCCAAATAAATCTAATGATACTTCTTGCTTTTCAACATGGCCGTCGTCATCACCGCGAGAGTATTTTAAAACAACAATTTCCGTGTAAAAAATAAACGAACTGATGGCAGGTATTTACAGAAAAAAAGCGAGTTATTYTATGTATAATATGAGATCTGTAAGTCTGTAAGTCGATGCYAGATGGGTATCTCGACCGCGTGTCGTTTCAAATATTTGTGATCCGAACTTTTTGTTGTCGCATTTGAGATACGAGATTTAATAAACCACACGAACTCCGTGATTTTATTTAAGAAAAATTGATAAAAATTCGAGAAAAACAAGTTTGGACAAAATTATTATGTTGTCTACTGAACTTATGTACGACGGATTTGTAAGACGGTTAAATATGTTCCGATTCGAACTGCGATAATATTGGGGGAAAAAACGAAATAAAAATTTACYGAAAGTATAAAATAAAGAAACAACAACCATTTTCGAGCCATAAAATAAAGGACATGCCGGAAGGCTTGTTGTCACCAGCAGGAGTCGCGCCCACGGGTCCTATATATGCCCCGCGGGGGGCTGTGGCGGCAGCGTTTGGTAGTCAAGTGAGAAGCGCGAACATTCAAATTGAAAAAAATAAATAAAAACCCACTCCGAAGAAGCCACAGCTGAGCATACCTGTATGTATGTGTGTGAAAATGTGTTCGTTGAGTGTTGGTAGTGGGGYGAAAGTAAAAGACGCGTTTAAGCCTATTCTTATATATACCTAATAACATTACCAGAGTTGCGGTCAAAGCGCGCGCGAAAAAGGATTAAGATAAAAAAACAACGCAAAATGTAACCAGAACCATAAAACATAACGAGTCGAGGTGACCTATGAACTCCAATGTYGGTCTGTTGGAGCATACGCATCGTGTGTGCCTCGGCCAACGCCTCTTACTATATATTATATATGTATAATATGTAGCATATTATATACCTATATTATAAACTATAATATATAATATATATGGTAAAAAACAGCTCAACCGCCTCCTTATCTTTTTATGTGGTGGCGGCGGTGGACTTTTACGTCTAACGCGTTCGGAAAGCGTTTTTTCATTTTTATTTATTATTTTCACAGCTGGCCGAAATCATATAATATAGGTTATATTATACGTAGATATTACGCGTATACCTACATATAGATTATAGTTACGATATTATTACAATATTTTTACGAGTTTCCTCCGTGTGCCGAAAATAAAAACTACATTTCGGTCGAAACGATTAAGGGAACAGGGTAAAAAACAAAACGAAATCATGAGACTGCGTGGTGATGRCGTCGACGAGCCGATTGACATTTCGGTGCGTTTCGAATATTCATTTTGTACATATTAATACATAATATATTATATATATAGTCAGCTCGTAAAAACAGTAGAACGTCTAAACGTCTAAACGGTAAAACAATAATGTACACGTCATTACACGATCATTGTCCCACTACGGCGACGGTTATTTTCGAGGAGTCTTGGACAGGCTGAACGTGTTGAATCGCGTTCATATCTCGTTGAATAAAAAACAATATATGAGGAAATACCTTTTTTTGTTAACGCGCTATGTTACATACGAATGTACGATAATTCAGTACCAGCAATTGTTGTCAAAAATTAAATTTAATATACATAACATGACTATACTAATGCCACAAACGTTGTGATTGACTAAATCGATGTACTCAAAATTAGATACTACCTATACTAAATCATCGATACATAAGTCTGCTACTATACATAATATCATTAATAACTATGAAGGTACTAGGTACTACAAAATATTCACATTTGCTATATATTTTCAACGTAAGAACAATCGGTTTGTTTGGGAATTCGAGTTAAAATTCGAAGAAACTATAATGTGTAACTACATATATAATACAGACCTAAGTAAAGTTCTGCATTGGAACGGAATACCATTTAAGTCTGAGCCTTTTAAACTAAACTGTAAGTCATGTATGATATTGAAATCCTTCACGTAAGTCCACCAATCAAAAAATCGAATAACGAAATAAATTCACCAGTATGCAAACAAGTTTATATTATTATTATTTAAGAATATATAACTGTTAGCAGACATTTATTTAATTATATATTTTGTAAAATCGAGTTTCCAATTGCATAATAATATATTTAAATCGAACTTCATTATATGTACATCCAGATGCATTTCAAAGCCAATCGCTTGTACGATAGTTTAAAAAAAAAAGTGTGTTATACTATATCAATGAATATATCACTTTTTATTGTATTCGGTAGTGTGTTTTTTATGTTAGCGGACAACGATTACTGTTGAAGATCTTATCAATATTATTAATGCGTATGGCTTTTAATTGAAACGAGCAAATAGCACAGTCGAACAAGAGATATTTTGATTACCATCTATTGTGTTATTAGACATCCGCTTGGTTTTTAAAATATTCTGAATATTTATACAAGACACGAATTAATAACATAATTTTACTCTCAACAATTATATTATTGTAACAAGTATTAGCTACAGAAGTACGATACAGTTATTAAACAGTTTTAACTTACCAATCGAATCACGTGTTAGATAACTTAAAAATAAACATTTGTGTAGGACACATTTCAATAAAAAAAAAAATAACGAWTGTGTACATTATGTTCACAGAGTGTAATCGTGAATTGTGTTTGTTTTTATTTTTTATACATATAATTATACTTATAAGTCATAAACGACGGCGTTTTATCATTGTACGTGATATATATACGTGAGGGTGATCATATAGGTATTGCGTTAAAAAATAAAAACGACTTTGTGCAAGGATTAGATATGAGGACGACAACGTCGGTGGCAGTGCGATATATCGAATTTTCTAAGGTAACCAACCGGTTTGACTGTAAATGTAAATAATATTGCAGTGATTATACGAATTTCCGCACATTTAATTGACATTAGCAAAGTCGTCGTACGGCACGTTCTAATAAAATATAAAACTATATTATATATTATATTATATAAATATTATATTATATATTATATAGATATTACGTTTAAACGAACGGCACAGACGAGGTGGCGGCGGCGGCAGTAGTGCAGGCAGAAGAGTTCGGCACGAGTGAAGGGCGAGCGTATTAAAAATAAAAAGTGAAGTTAGATAAGAAAATAAAAATAGTAATAATAATAAAGAAAAAGGGATACACGATTTAAATACAAACAGGGGCGTTTTGTTCTATTTGTTCTGCCGTCGTCGCGAGGTTAATGCATTTGGCCCTTATATGGATATGTCGGGTTTGGCGCGCGCAATAAGATACCGAGCTCGTGTTGCTCAGTAAAAATATACGTATAGGTATATGATATATATATATATATATCGCCTTTGTACAAATAATAGAGGACAAAGACAATGTGTACACACTATGTACCTATAATGACGCATGTGCATATGTGTATGCGTGACGGGTCGTATATACGAGTCCGTGTGTTTGTTATTATTTATTTATATTTTTTTTTATTTGCGCAACTTTTAGCGACTTACTACCCTATTGTTTTGGCCACGCGTATAGCACGAGGACCTATATTATTCAGCAATTCTCGGCTAGGTGGCTACCTACCGGCGAAAAATATTGTAACAGGTGTGCGTCGATGTTATCCGCGCGCGTATATATTATAGCACCGCTGCGGCCGAAAACAGCTGCGACGGAACTGTTGTTATACACGGGTCGCAATAGTTACCTACCTAAAATGCCGTGTGGGGGCGAAGTGAATTTTAGGAAAAAAAATTACCGTTGTGTGAAGCAGGTGAACGAATTTTCGATAAAATATTGGTATATACAGTTGATTGACGACGACCGGATGCAATCGAAATATTATATAGTCCTTCGATGTACCTATGTTTAAATTATATATAAATAGGTATGTCAGATCCACGAGAGACACTCAGTATATACGTGGTCTTAAACATGCACGTTTTCACTTTTTTATTTATTGTAAATATAGAGTCTAAAATATATATTCTCATTATCCCCAAGATATATGACTTGCCTTTCGTATGTAAAGTAACATAAACGAAAGATAGTTTTTCTGGACAGAAAGTATATTGAATTAATATTTATAATACATAATTCAAACAACAAAATAAAATACACGCAGAAATCATGATGACAAGAATTTGAGATTGTTACACACACCGAATGCTTGTAATATGCTTTGCGTAACTAACTAATATGCGACGAGGTTTCGCTACTACAATAATAGGATATAATATAAACTATATTATTTATTAATTATTATAATATATTTTATGAACTCACTAACTTAACCCTAAAGATGCATTCTTAATGACTTTATAGCAGTTTACTTGACACCCAACTGCGAAAATACAATATAATATTATTATAAAATAATAACATGACCATCCATTATTTTGCGTCATGACGTATTTGTATAAGTCATAAATATTAATACAACTACAATTATTATATAGGCGACGAGTCACTACTATATAGCCAATATGAAATCTTTAGGTATATAACTAAATGCACGACCCTATAATAATATTATGATTATTAGGGATATTGATCATTGGTGGTCTCTAAGAAAACGTGCTGTTATGGGTTCACAGTAGCACAGTAGCCTCACAACTTCAACGTCACTGAAGATAACATAGAACGATATACTAATGAATTATATTATATCATTTTTTCACTCCTTAACAACCTACAACCTACAACCTACAACTACCGAATGTAATTTTAAGGTACTCACCGAGCATCTTGCTGAGATCAGCGTTATGCAAGTCAGGATTTTCGTCAGCTAACTTTTTCCGCTCCACCTTTGCCCATACCATGAACGCGTTCATGGGTCTCCGGATCCGTTGCTCTTTGACCGCCTTCTGTTGCTGTTGCTGCGTCATCTTAGACGTCTGTTGTTGTTGCTGCTGCTGCTGTTGGCTGCTTCCAGTCATACCGTTGGTATCCTGCTGCCGCTGCTGATGATGAGATTGGTACGCCGATGACAGCTGCTGTTGGTGGTGCAGGTGGTGTTCGAAAGCCGATCCACCTCCATTATGCTGCAGCCAACAAGCCGCATCGTCCGGAGACTTTTGCGCTGACAGCGAAGGTGGTACCACCATTTGGGTTACTGGTATCTGCTGCTGTTGCTGCTGTTGGATTTCGACGGCCGTCGACTGATGGAACTGGCCGGCGACGTAGTTTCGGTGGTACGGCTGGTAAGCGTACACAGAGCAAGGTGAACCGGAAGTGGGTGAGTGACCAAGGCCTCCGTACAAGCCCTGATGATGCGGTGAGTCCAGACCATGGGTTTGTAACTTAAAGTCTTCAGTTATCCTACAGAGGGAAACAAAGAGAAACGTATTAATACTATCAGATTATATCGACCATCAATTTATTAGTCATAGGTAGTAATTAGTAATTACCTAACTTATACATTTATTAACACAAAGTGCTGCCAATGAATACCGATCGATATAGCTATAGATGTTTGTTTGTATTGTTATCATACCCGAGCTATGATTTTGAGGAATATAATATAGGTATCGGTACATTTMCTAGACTTTAATTAATATTCAAAACTACTACCTACGTTTTATTTACATTTTTCATTTTATATTGATAAACAAAATTAAACTTATTCATTTTGATAACATTTTCAAAAAAAAAATATTTTACTTCCGGGTAATCAGTTAAAAATATATTTTAGGTACCTGCTGTTTAAAAGAACATTATAATGGACATAAAACACTAAATATTAGTACATAATTAAAAATAACACTGATAAGGGAATGACGTTCTGTTGTATAGTATGTTACAAATGAGTCACTGTAATGAATGGTATTCATTGTATACGGAAAAAGATTCTGAGCGAAGATGGTTTGTCTGCCTGGGATATTTTATATCATATTTATATATTATTGTTATTATAATATTATTACTGTAGTCAATAGCTTGGATTACTATTATTTGCATACTATCATATGTTTGTATAAAATATACTATAAAAACTTCAAGTACCCACGAATTATATTTTTAAATTATAATGATATAATTAAAATCATAATTATTGGTTATTTAATATGCAATTTGGTCCAAATTTGAATTCGAAATAACTATAAAAATAAACTGTCTTCATATATTTTTTAAAACATTTGGTTACAGAACCAACTACTAACGTGCAACCTTGATTTAAATTTCTAATCTAGGTATAAAAATTGAATATAGAATATATTTTTATCTAAAAAATAGTTTGTTACTTATCAATTTGTCACATTTTTTTGAAAATTTRAATTTTAAATGCCTATAAAGTATAAATCGTCCCCATGAGTTTTTAATAATTTTAAATTACTGTTGAAATAATGTATCAGCAAAATTTAAAGCTGAAAACATCGGTTAAGATATCTGTTAACATATCAATATAAGTAAAATTTTTATCAAATACAGGAAATAATAAAATAAATATTAGGTGTAAATTTCAAGTATCTGCAGTTATTTTTTAATTAATTACAGGAAAACAGGAAAATYGTTTTATGTGAATATCCAATGTTGTTTAAATTTGAAATTCAAACGTTCATAAATATTTAATTTGACTTTCCTGTAGATATTTTTTATTTTATTAAGATGGACAGAATTATGAGGAATCTTGAGTTAAATTTTAAAATCTTGGATAGAAAAATAAAGGTTTTTGAATTTTGAACTCAAAATTAATTGCAAATTTTCGTGATTTTTACATAGTTTGTCAAAATTCGAAATTAATTAGATGCTCATAAAAATGTATTGTGAATTTAAGCTCAACTTTTTTTTAAATTTCTACTAACAACTTACAAAGAACCTTGCATTAATTTTCGTTTTTTAAGCAAGCAAAAAATGTTATCRACATTTATTTTTAAAAAAAAAAACTAAAAATAACCTATAATATTATTAATTTACAAATTTACAAATTTAATATGCTTATAAATAACTCAAGATAAGTCAAAATACTTTAAAATGTAGGAAGCATAATAAACAATATTAATATAAATTTCTCCTTTTGTTTTTCTGGCACTTTTGAACTCCCAAACGCACCAACCAGATTTACTATAGATTAAACCAAATGAATAGGTAGGTTAAGAATATATTGTGAACGWTTAATCTACCTCTTATTTTTTCGTTAGGAAACTATGAAATGTTTGCATACAATAAATCGACTTTCATATAGAACCACGCGAATGTTTTTTTATATACACCAAATATTTTTTATTAATATATAAACTCAAATATTACTCAAAAAATACAGTTATTAGAAAATATTTTGATTAGATTGTTTAGATTACCAATATTGTGATTTTTAACTACGCGTAAAAAATATTTTCTAGTTTTTTTGACTTACACTCTGCTTTGTAGTACCTATTATTAATCACCAATCTGTCAAATGACGCATAATACTATATAATGTTATGCCCGTTGCTAAATCCGTTCGAATAATGCACAGATACCTATATGTGRGACGAACGTATTTTATTTGTCATTTGACAGAATAGTGTCTGTACGTAACATATTTTGCTATATTAATATTAATCTAGGTATTGATTATTTTTTTTAATTGTCATTCGTATAGTAATATATTTATATGATACTATCATTGTAAGTCAAGTACTACCAAACAATAAATTGCTAAGCTTAAAGATTAATATTATTGCCCCAATTATTTAAAAACAATGCATCAAACGTAATAATATAGTAAAAAAG